AGCCGCCTCAGGCGGCGGTGACCCTTCATGGACAGGGGCCGTTAGAGATCTTGCTTTGTGGTGTCAGAGCAGGGTAGTCTGAAGTCATCAGCTTGAGCTTGCGAGAGGACCAAAAAATAAAAACACATTAAGAAAAAAAAAAGAAAGAATCAGTTGAACTAGGTAAGAGTTCCCTAGGGAACGGAAAAGCTAAAAGGGACGTTTGAAGTGGATGACTACATTCAAAAATAAAGTATTTACATATACAACCACATAACATCGTAAAAACTGGAGCTTCAAAGCGTGGGTAAGAACAAAGAGAAACAATGTACACAATTATTCTAAAAGATAACAGAAACTTGGGTTTCTTTCCTAATCTTTACCCAAATAAAAGTATACAAAATTGTCTTTTCCAATATAGTGCCCTGTCTCTTTAAGCCTACTTTAAGGTAATTTTGTTAAATAATGTTGATATCCATGTACAAATTGAACTTTAAAGATACATTGTTCTATTTTAATTTAGGACAAACAAATCCATGGAAGGTGTAAGCGCTGGAGTTAGAAACCGCCCCCGCTGCTTTTCCTTTCCTCAAGACTTGCCCTATTCCACCTGCACAGGCCTTCTCCTATCCATCTGCCAAACACATCAACAGCAGTCAGAGTACCTGACTGTGCCCAACACCAACTGTTTTCTCGGCAGCTTTAGATTCATACACAGCACTTATTTTTGCATGTAGTCTAGAACAGTTCTATGGAGGTATAGACTCTAAAACATTTACATACGGCTCGAACTGGGAGGATCAACAAGACATTACAGACATGCATGGACCACAGGGCTTCACCTTACCTTATCCACACAGTGAAAAACTAAAGGCAAAATTCTTCTCTAGCCCTGGATGTGACCCTTGTGCACACACGCACCATTCACACACACACCTCCCCCCTTTAATTTCTGATTAGTTCATTGCAATTTATCAAGTCTCTGACCACAACGCAGAAATCTCAGTGTGTCCACATTGGATTTGGTGGTTGGGCTGAACTTTGAGCATCAGTTTGCAAAGCCAAATGACTCCAGCCAATCACACCTATACTGCTGGTTGAGGCAAGATCTTAAATGTGAGTCAGTTCCCACTTTTACTGTAGATTGTTGATTCTCTATTCACTAACCCACTATTAGAAAAGTCACACCAGCCAGAGTACTTCTCTTCACTGTTCTGTACCAGTCCAGTTCTGGACCTACATCAGATTGCTGTGCTAACCTTTAAAAACTAGGCTGGATTACTGCTTTCTAACTTGAGAAATTGTTTCTACCACTTCAAAAAAGATCATATCTGTGCTCAGCAGAAATGCTGCCGAGTTGAGGTCTGAAAATACTAACTTCTTGGTTTTGCCAGCTTTCCTTCAATAACAATTGCAGCTGATTCTCACAGCTGGGTTACATATGATTATAAAGGCACAGGAATAATGATGTGCTACAATATGGTATAAACAAGAGTACAGAGTAAAAAAATGAGGTATTTTAAAGAAAGGGAAGGGCAGACACAGAAATTACATTTCTTAATCACCTTTTACCATTCAAAATACCATTCCATCCAGAAACTTAGTTCTCCATGTAACAGAAATAACTATCATTTATCTCCCTGTAATTCAGCTCTTAGATGATAACAGCAATTAATATGTACAAAATTAATGTGATTTTTAAAATTCACTCGAGAAAAAGCAATTTTGGATAACCTGAATGTTGCGATCCCTAATCAAGCCCAGATTTTCTTTCTGTTGAAGAACTAGAGAATCTTCA